CTGTAACGATTCCCGACACCTATCCTATCCCTGACATAAACGCTACTTTGTGTAGCCTTGGCAACTCCCGTTACTTCACGACCATTGACTTAACTTCAGGGTTTCACCAAATCCCTATGAAGGAATCCGACATATCTAAGACTGCTTTTTCGACCATGAACGGTAAATACGAATTTTTGAGATTGCCTTTTGGCCTCAAGAACGCGCCAGCCATCTTCCAGCGTATGATCGACGATGTACTGAAACAATATATNCTTCAGGGTTTCACCAAATCCCTATGAAGGAATCCGACATATCTAAGACTGCTTTTTCGACCATGAACGGTAAATACGAATTTTTGAGATTGCCTTTTGGCCTCAAGAACGCGCCAGCCATCTTCCAGCGTATGATCGACGATGTACTCAAACAATATATCGGTAAAACCTGCTATGTGTACATCGACGATATCATTGTGTTTGGTAAGGATGCTGACGATCATTTGAAGAATGTCGAAATGGTATTTTCTCGATTGTTGGAATCCAATCTAAACGTGAATTTAGAAAAAACCTGCTTCCTGCAAACTGAAGTTGAATTTTTGGGGTACATCATCACTCCCGAAGGAGTTCGTCCTGACCCAAAAACGGTTGAGGCTATGAATTTAATTTTGCCACCATGCAATTCGAAAGATCTGAAAAGTTTTTTGGGAATGACCTCCTACTATCGGAAGTTCGTTCGTGACTACGCAAAAATAGCTAAGCCATTGACAAATCTAACGCGCGGGAAAAATGCACAAATAAAAGCCAGTGCATCGAGGAAGGTAGAAATACAACTGGACAGTGCGGCTTTGCAAGCCTTCGATGACCTAAAACGTATGCTAACTTCCGCTGATGTCATGGCATTTCCTGATTTTGGTAAGCCTTTTAATTTGACCACTGATGCGTCGAACTACGCAATTGGTGCAGTTCTATCCCAGGGGGATATAGGTACGGACAAACCAATTGCATATATTTCTCGCTTCCTGAACAAGACCGAGGAAAACTACGCTACGAATGAAAAGGAGATGCTAGCCATAGTGTGGGCATTAGATAATTTGAGGTCGTATTTGTACGGTGCCAAAAAGATAAGAATATATACTGATCACCAACCATTAACATTTTCCTGAAGCTGTCGCAATTATAATGCTAAGCTAAAGAGGTGGAAAGCACGCATGGAAGAATATAACTGTGAAATAATTTATAAGCCAGGGAAGGCCAATGTGGTCGCGGATGCTCTTGCCCGTCTTAAGACCGAACTCAACGCCTTAACGGATTCTGTGGTGGCTCAACCATCAGGAAGCGAAATAGGAAATAGTGATGAGGTAGCAACAATGCACTCCGCTGAACAGGATAATTCCGATCTTATACCACACGTCGAGGCCCCCATAAACGTCTTTAGGAATCAGGTGATATTTAGAGTAGGTCAGGAATCTCGATGCCATGAGCAACCGCCTCATGGCTACCGCAGATATTTTATTTCTTTACCAAATATCAACAGTTCAAACGTTATTCCAATTCTCAAAGAATGCCTTAATCCTAATGTTATAAATGGCATAAATATTTCTGAGGAATTTCTTCAATTATTGCAAACCGTGTATGCTAATAATTTCCACACGTGACCATCCCTGATAGAATTTTCGATATAATCGAGGAAGAGCATCGCGGAGCCCACAGGAATCCGAAGGAAAATAGAGAGCAGATTCTAGAAAAGTACTACTTTCCAGGTATGTCAAAACAAATTAGGGATTATGTTAGGCAGTGCGAAGTGTGTAAGCTTAATAAATATGACAGGCATCCGGCTAAGCCTCACCTNCAAGAAGCTAGAAATGCAAGGATCAATTCAAAACGCTCGCCACCCAAAGAATATAATAGTGGCGATACTCTGTTCATAGCAAACAGACAAATAAAGGGGAAACAAAAGCCTCTATTTAAAAAAGAAACAATCGCAGAAAATAGAAATGCGACAATAGTAACTGAAAGTGGGAAAAAATTCCACAAAGTAAGATAACATTAGACAAAAGGTTAATAAGAAGCTTAAGATTACTAGGAATCCGGCGGTTCGGAATGCAAGCGTTTATGCGTTTGTAGTCGATGAAGTCATAGTGGTTCAATTCCACCTCGCTCAGTGGTGTGAGATGGCAGATTCGAGGTGGTTCAACTCCCCCACGGTAATCTTCTGCTTATTTGCGTGAAGCCACCCGTGCCATGAGTAGGTCATTTGCAATTATAAACGCTTATGACTAAAAGGGACCAACGCGGGCCTTCCATAGACAAATAATACCTATAGTCCGATGCAAAAAACCATAAATACACATTCTGCTAAATAAGTACGCAAAAGTAACAAATGTATACAAGAAGACATCTCGCGCAAAAGCGCCGAAAAATATAAAATTTAACGAAGAATAAAAGAACATGCAAATATGATGCAAATGCAAATGCAAAACATAATAAAAAATAAAAAAAAGAGAAAGTGAATTCTCACAAAAAAGGGGAAAAAAGATTGCATGAAACTTATTACTACAATTAACTTTCATTTTTCGCATTAACCACTTACCACTAATTAGTTAACAATTAACATAACTAACTACTTCACTACTGGGTTCCCTAAGAAAATAAACAATAACAAAAGAACATGCAAATCTCTCAATTCTATCACTACTCACCCCATGCAACTCAAAACTAGAATAAGGATCTTGGGTTAATTAAAAACATAAAGTTAGATATTTAGTTAAATGAGTAGAATAGTTAAGAGAAAAAGGATATGATTAAGACGAAATTTAGAATTAAGACTTTGAGTAGAATAAAAAATATAATAATGTAAAAAGGATATGGCTAAGACGAATTTCAGAATTAAGACTTTGAATTGTATAGAGTCACTATTATAACGTGGGTATGGGTAATAAACCATTAGTAGACTAATGTATTAATCTAATCCGTAGCACGTGCCCCTGCGCCATGGCGCATTCTTATGGCCTATTCAAGATAGACTCACCCCTGGTAACCATACGAGATGGGTATGGATGGATCATCGATGGACACTTCAAGCTAATTCATGTGGTAAATTTGGAACGATATGAACTGGCAACAAATCGGCTCGAGTGGGTAATAACTACCTTAAATGAAACAACAGCATCTACAAAGGTACTACTATTCCAGCTAGGCAGAATCCGCACACGTTTAAACGAACTAAGAGGTCACGAGACGGCTAGATTAAAACGATCTATTAACTGGATTGGGTCAGCTTGGAAATGGATTGCTGGCTCATCTGATGCTACGGACTGGGATGAGGTCCTCCGAAACGAAAATTCCCTTAATAAAAATAACGAGCAGCAGTACAAGGTGAATGATAAAATTTTTAAGAAAACTAATCAGTTATTGCAGAGGCTCAATGGCATTGTGGTCGCCACCAATGATGTAATCAACAAGAGGAACTTGGACAGGATTTCTCAAGAAGTCCAGCATAAAATCTTTATCCTGAATGAAGACGTCAACAAACTGATCCGTGCTTGTCAGATGGCTAAGGCAGGAGTCGTCAACACCAGTCTTCTGAGTATAGAGGAAGTTAACCAGCTTGTCAGTGAGATCGACGTTCTACCATACATCAACGCCATTGAAGCCATTGAATATAGCAAACCATCGATCTACACCAACAACACACCTCTTATACGTGTTGTCCCTACCAAAGGTCACAAAAGCTAGATTTAATCACCTGATCGCAAGAGCTAACATACAGAACGGCGTCCGAGTGGAATTGGCATATCAAACAATCCTGACCAATAAACATCAGACATTCGGCATCAAGGAACACTGCTTGCAATTATCTGCTCCCATGATCTGCGAAGGGAAATCACTCGACCTGCTACCAGAATCTAGTTGCCTGACTCGTCTTCTCAAGGGAGGACAAACAAGTTGTACTTATGCCACCTGTAACGATTCCACTGTTGAAATCATCAAGGATGATACCATTTTCCAACAATTCAAATACACTTAATGGTTCTTATATCCTCCAGATGAACAATGAGACCGTAGCTATCAATGGCAAAAACTACTCGAGTACTAGTAGATCAGGAGTACAGGTGCTTCCACCAATCTTGGCCAGCGTCACTAACCGCAGTGTGGTAATTAACCTCAACCTGATACACGGGATGACAGCCCATAATATAAAGCTCCTGGGATACCTCAAAGAGAAAAGCAATTGGTTTGCGTTCACCGAAGGTTTGGTGTTAGTCATACTAATGTTATCCCTTTGGCATATTTGGAGAAGGATTACGGCGAAGATACACCTACCTGCATTGAACATTGACAACAAGGCTAATTCAAAAACCGAAGAACATCCATCTAATCTGCGGGACGCAGATCTTTAAAGGGGGAGGAGTTAACACTTCCGCCGTCACCCAACATGTTGCATTCCCACAGTCCAGCAATACACGTGCGCCATGTCAGCATAATTGTGGTTCACAACATAATTGACATCCTACACCTTTGGCAAGGCCAAGTGCATTTCATCATATCATGCAATAGCAATATTGCACAACGTTATCAGACACCTATGGGAACCGTCGGCCACAGTTAGTACCTCTGGCTAATGCTTACGCAACTATTAGTATAACGGAGCCAATGCATTAGGCATTGCAGCGGTGTCAGCATAATTTCATTTCACACGGTTGTGAAATCAGTGTGTTGCATATTCCAAGTTACCTGTGGGAATTCAAGGCCAAGGCGGCTCACTGACGTCGCCTATGTCTGGCTATAGAACAACGACAGCGGAACAGGCTATAAGGGGCGGCAGAACTAGGATCAGCGGCAGTTGCATCGGGGTGTTACTATAGTCAATTAGGCTTATTTATTTATCTCAATAAAGTACTTTTATTATAACGTTTAATTTACCTCTTTTTATTCCAGGGCAAGTTGGCCCTTTAATTTTTTTGTTGTTCAGGACCTTCAGTCCTTAACTTGTAGGTACATACGTACCTACCATATAAGTTCCTATGCATTGAGTGCAAAAGAGTGTGTTTTAGTACAAAACGAAATGAAATTTTATGTTCCTAAATATTTTTTGCTTAGCACCATATAAAAAAGTGTTTATGTAATGTACATAAATGTGATATATGTACATATATTTTTACACATCACATGAAAAAGGTGTCCGGTGGCAGAATTGGGTTTTAGATTTACAGTTTCTCCCTAACCGCTGAGCGTATCGGCGGCGTGGGGACAGCGTCAGCTTCGTCATTCGTGCGGGTTATTTAATAACGATGTCTCAGTGGACGGGTAAACAGCATGCGTTCGCAATAGAAGCGTATTTCAAGGTCAATGATTAGTGTGCAACTGCTCGTCGTAGATTTTGTCGACGTTACAATATTCGACGTTTTCCCCTACGACGACCCCTTCGACGATCTTACCCCTATGGATTTTTTCGGTGGGCATACCTCAAAAGTAAAGTCTACGAAAAAAACCCAGCGACCATCTCAGCACTAAAAAAATATCGTTCGTGAGGTTAATGGTATCCCAACATCANTTTTAGAGGAATAATTTTTAAAAAACAAAATCCGCACTTGTCTTCTTTGTAATAGTTATTGAAATAAACTTTTATCATTAGTAATTCTTTTTTAATTTAGCTTTTAATTCCTAATTCTGCCACCGGACACCCTGTATGTATGTACATACATATGTATGTGATGTTGCATAACAAGCCAATTAATTCATTATTTCTTTTCTTTTGTTTTTTAACGCCGTGAAATATACTGATTTTATGAATTAATACATTTATTTGTAATTTTTTATGGAATCGGCATCGGCATCGGCCGATTCTTTCCCCATAAGCCGATTAATCGGCATCGGCATCGGTACCTGAAAAAAAATTGGAATCGGTCGGACTCTACTGGGGTTAGCCGTGGAGGCTGCTCTATTAGAGCAACAGGGGGCCACAAAAGACGTGGTCCACTGCCGATGTGTCCGTAGTCCTGAGCAGACTCTGAGGTGACTCCACCCCTCGCAAGCATTGCACTTGACAGAGGTGGAGTGGTGGTGTAGTCGTCTCTGGCATACACATAAGGTGTATATTTCTGGCCCTGGGTTTGACTCGATGCCAGCCCTGAGTAGGAGAAAACGTAGCGGCTGTAGCCCTATGGACGAACAACTTCTGAGATACTTCGCCGACCTAAACGGGGTGAGATCGCCGAAACAGCAGCCCGTGGTCGGGTAAAACCTGAGTCATTCCGGTACGTAGAACCGGCAGTCGTGGGAATGAAAGGCCTATGGTGCTCTGTATTCCTGCAAGAAAATGCTGGGTAAGAGGTGGGGCCTACGACCTAATCTTATGCTATGGATGTACAAGGCGGTGATTCGCCAAATTATTGCATACGGTTCGCTGGTTTGGTGGAAAGCCGTAGAGATGAACTACATAGGCACAATGTTAGGCAGGGTACAAAGGTCAGCCTGCATTGCGATTACTGGGGCGATCAGATCATGTCCAACGGAAGCATTGAATGTCATCTGCCATCTGCCACCGATTAATCTCTTTATCAAGGAAAGTGCTTCACAGAGTGCGCTCAGGTTGAGGGAACTTGGATTGNGGGGTTAGCCGTGGAGGCTGCTCTATTAGAGCAACAGGGGGCCACAAAAGACGTGGTCCACTGCCGATGTGTCCGTAGTCCTGAGCAGACTCTGAGGTGACTCCACCCCTCGCAAGCATTGCACTTGACAGAGGTGGAGTGGTGGTGTAGTCGTCTCTGGCATACACATAAGGTGTATATTTCTGGCCCTGGGTTTGACTCGATGCCAGCCCTGAGTAGGAGAAAACGTAGCGGCTGTAGCCCTATGGACGAACAACTTCTGAGATACTTCGCCGACCTAAACGGGGTGAGATCGCCGAAACAGCAGCCCGTGGTCGGGTAAAACCTGAGTCATTCCGGTACGTAGAACCGGCAGTCGTGGGAATGAAAGGCCTATGGTGCTCTGTATTCCTGCAAGAAAATGCTGGGTAAGAGGTGGGGCCTACGACCTAATCTTATGCTATGGATGTACAAGGCGGTGATTCGCCAAATTATTGCATACGGTTCGCTGGTTTGGTGGAAAGCCGTAGAGATGAACTACATAGGCACAATGTTAGGCAGGGTACAAAGGTCAGCCTGCATTGCGATTACTGGGGCGATCAGATCATGTCCAACGGAAGCATTGAATGTCATCTGCCATCTGCCACCGATTAATCTCTTTATCAAGGAAAGTGCTTCACAGAGTGCGCTCAGGTTGAGGGAACTTGGATTGTGGAAAGAACGTACGTACGGGCATGGACGTATCCTGTATTCTTTCAACGACCCAAGCCTTCGCGAAAAAACTGACTACATTTGTCCTTCGCTCTCTTCAAGAAAAACTACGGCACGATTTTTCCATCAAGAAAGGAGTGGAAGGATCCTATTTATACTGAACGCTTCGAAGTATCCATTTTTACGGGCGGGTCAAAAATGGATTGTGGGGCAGGGGCGGGAATTTTTTCAACCGACCTCCAAATTGAAGAGTCTATTCGATTACCTAATTCGACCAGTGTTTTTCAGGCAGAGGTCTTTGCCATAAATGAGGCTTGCAAAATAATTTAAGCCTCGAAGCTAGCGAGAACCAGCATTGCTATTTTCTCAGATAGTCAGGCAGCGATCAAAGCAATTGGCTCTGTAAGCATCACCTCCAGCATAATAAAACGGTGCAGGGAGAACGTTATGGTTTTAGCTGACAGGCACGTCGTTGCATTGATCTGGGTGCCGGGGCACAGCAGAATTCATGGCAATGAGATGGCTGACGAGCTGGCCAGGAATGGGTCGGCTCTGGATATCTCAGAGGCAAAGGAGGTTCTTGTGCCTCTGAGCTATATCAAGAGCCGCATCTCTCAGCACTGGAAAAATGTGGCTAACAGTGGGTGGAAAAATCTACAATCCTGCAGAGTCTGCAGGAGTCTGTGGCCCACCTACTGGGCAAAACGCACTGCTTTTCTTATCAAACTAAACAGGAGGGATCTATCCCGACTAACTGCCGTTTACACAGGCCACTGGGCCGTGGGAATCCATGCTGCAAGACTAGGACTGGAACACAACATATCTTGTCGTAGTTGTAATTCACCAGATGCAGAAGAAACGGTGGAGCATCTGCTCTGCGATTGCCCAGCACTACGTAGGACTAGAATCAGGCTTCTAGGCAAACCCTGCTTCTGCGGTTTAACAGACATAAGTGATATTAACCCACTGCAACTTCTTAAGTTCGTGAACTCCACAGGCTGGGTTTGAGATATATAACCGACTTCTGCTGCTTTCTTTTCGGGCTTTCTTTTCAGGTTTAAATTGCGAGTAGTGGTTTTAAAACGGCACGCATAAGTGCTAATTGGAGTTGTTAAACTCGCCACTTCAACCAACCAGCCTAACTTCATATAATAAAGAGATAAGGAAAGCGAAGAGGGAAAGCTTCAGAAGCATTTGCGAGAACATTACATCCACTTCTGTAGCGGCAAGACTGCGTAAGGACCTAGCAAAAGACAGGATAGAGACCCAACTAGCAATCAAGCTGCCGGACGGCACTTACACCGGCAGCGAAGTTGAACGAGCACGTGCTCTACCTGACTACGGAGGGAACTGATCGAACATTTAGACCAACCCCAGTTGATTGGGGCACTGCGAGAGGCATATTCTCGCGAGCCAAAGTCAAATGGCCGTTTGGCTCATTTGACCGATACATGTCCCCGGGAAGGACGGGATCTATCCGGCTTTACAGCAAGAGAGAGAGAAGATCTAGTTACCCCACATCTAGTAGAATTAGTGAAGAATAGCCTAGCCCAAGCCTACTTTCCAATAGTGTGGAGAAGAGCTCGGGTAACATTTATACCCAAGATGGGCAAAAAAGACTACTCCTCAGCTAAATCTTTCAGACCAATAAGTTTAACCTCTTTTGTACTAAAGACGATGGAGAAAATTATTGACAATGAATCCGATCAAACACTCTGGAAGTTAGTCCGGTCCACAGTAGCCAACACGCGTATAGAGCAGAACGATCTACGGAAACAACCCTGTATCAGCTAACTACAGAAATCCAAAGTGCGTTTGAATCTGGGGAGATCGTTCTCTGTGCCTTCCATGACATAGAAGGAGCCTTCGACAACACCTCGCATGAGGCGGTAGGGCACGCACTAGAGAAAGAGGAGTACAAGTACCTATTCGCAGGTGGATAAAAGCGACCACAATAGGGAATGAGTCTGTGCAAATAAAAACCACGAAGGGGTGTCCACAAGGGGGCGTCTTATCACCCCTCCTTTGGAGCCTAGTAGTCGATGAACTCTTGCAAATCACTACATATTATAAAACAAAGTCACTTTTTCTGTCCCTATGTCCCCTTAAATGCTTAAATCTTGAAAACTAAGCAACGGATTTTGATGCGGTTTTTTTTAATAGATAGATTGGTTGAAGAGGAAGGTTTATGTCATTATAATGTGAAGAAATATATAAAGGGGGCGTGGCAATCGGACAAAATGTGGTAAAAACCCATAAACTTTTTGTTTACACAGCCATAAATCATAAAAGAATCCACCGATTAAAATGAAACTTACTTGAAGTTAAACTTTGAAATATTTACTTTCGTTCTGCATCAAAAAAAATAGTTGATTCATATCTTATTTAACCAAAATTGTTTAAACAAAAGCAGCACTTTTTCCAAAAAAAGCTGTTTGTGTGTTTGTTCGCTGTCAACCGAATGAAACATTAGAAGTTATGCGGGAATCTCACCCCACCTCATTCATGTTGAATTAGATCGTATGGTGAAAGAACTCGGTACGTATGTATGCAAGTACATAAGTACGAATCTCTCGCATAATTAAATTTCGGACGTATGTATGTATGTATGTATGTATTTTCAATTCATGTCTTTATTGCCGTACTGAATTCCATTGAATTGAGGGTTTTTATACAGAAAACCCAAATTTGAAAAATTTTTAGTTGTGAGGGTTTTTTCAGCGAAATAAACCGCTCTGTTAACGTTCTATATTAATAAATCGCACATAATTAAAATACAGTTTTTGAATAGTTTTTATTGATTCGGAGCGCGCGTTAGATATTCCAAAGATAGCAGGAAATCTTCATGGTATAAAGAAAGGGGAATTGTTTCACTCCAAATGTAACGCGTGCGGGCCACGGGCAGTAATGAATAAATCAAAACTACGGGATCGATTTTAATCATTTTTTCAGTGAGTGACATAGGCCTTATATTTTATTTCCGTGCGAAGCCGGGGCGGGTTGCTAGTGATATCATATAATGGAATCCGATGCTAAGGCTATGCGGATCACATCGTCATAATAGCAAGAGGAAAGTTCGAGAACACCCTTTGTGACATAGTCCAGAGGGCCCTAAGAATAACAAAGAAATGGTATGTGGATAATGGTCTTTAAATTAACCCAACGAAATTCCGATTATCCCGTTCACAAGAGGAAGAACCCTACCGGGAATGAGAACTATAGCTCTTGATGGCACGGAAGTCGGCGTCGTCTCGGAAGTGAGATAATTAGGCATCACGCTCGACGCTAAACTCTCATGGAAGGAACACGTCGATGTGACGACATCCAGAGCAACAAAAGCGCTAATGGTATGCAAACGCCTGGCAGGAAAATTTTGGGGCTGTAGCCTTCGGATTCTCAGGTGGATGTATACCATGATAGTCAAGCCAATGATAACGTATGGGGAGGTGGCCTGGGGCTCGAGAGCCAACCAAGCGACTGCTATTCGCTCCCTCACAAAATTACAACGACTTGCGTGTGTGTGCATCACGGGCGCAATGTGTACCTGTCCAACAGCAGCACTGGAGGTTATTCTCGAGCTCACGCCACTGCGCATTAGTATACAAAAGACAGCCAAACGATCCCTAATGAATTTCACCAGGGAGGTTTTTGGAAGAGGAAAAGTGGTATCATCTCGAAATATGGAATCTCTCAAGACCCAACTGCCCCTGACTCAACTCCCACGAGATGACATCTGCAGAATTATTAGTTTCCAAAGAAAATTCAAAGTAGAATTAGAGAATAAGGCAAGCTGGAATGACATAAACTTAAGTAAATACTCCCATCTGCGCCCCCTTATTCGGTACACAGACGGCTCAAAAACACCCGAGGACATTGGACATGGAATCCTTGGGCCAAGAACAAGGGTCTCAGTTCCCATGGGCAAACTGCCTAGCATATTCCAGGCGGAGGTTTACGCCATTAGTCTGTGTGCAGAGATCAACCTTCAGCGAAAGTACCGTTATGAAAATATATTAATATTTAGCGACAGTCAGGCCTCACCCAGAGCCCTTATCTCTAATGAAATCAAGTCAGCAATGGTTCTTGAGTGCGTCGAGAGGCTTTACGCCTTAGCGGCAGCCAACAAGGTAATGAGGAGGCAGACATGCATGCCAGGAAGGCGGCGGCAAAAACACCAATAGGCCCCGAGCCCTTCTTTGCGATAGGACCGCAAACCATCAGAGACGAGCTTAGGAGACCCTGGGCTGCGACAGGGAGGTTACAATAGGGAAAGATATGATAAACTTATTCATCTCCCAAAGTATAAACTAAGATTCTAAGAGGTATCTTAACAGATTAAGAAGTCACCTACATAAACTCGGGATCTGGTCCAACAATTTATGCCTATTCTGTGATAACGCAGCTGAGACTTCTGAGCATATACTTCTCGAATGCGACGCCGTGGCGAGAAGACGGGAGAAATACCTCGGGTCACTATGCCCGCAGCTCGATGTCACCGAAGAAGACTGAGCGAGGTGTTGTAAGGAGGAAGAGGGCACAATAGATCACCTGGTCGCAGTGTATACCTCAACTAATATTTATCTATCTGACCATATTTTTATAAAAAATTCGCGAAAAAATAAAATATTAAAAAAAAACAGTTGCCCGTATTAAAAAAATCCCTGTACCTAAACTTTGTTGATTGACTGTATTTGTTATCCATTCACATGTGATAATTTATTCGTTGGTAAGCATACTAACCTGATGTTCTGGTTGTGCTGAAGGCGGTAGATCATGCCAATTAGGTTGCTCGGGTATGTTAATCAAATTTATATTAGGAATATTTTTGCCTAGACGTAATACAATATTTAGATTTTGAATTAAATTAAAACCTGATTTCAAAGGCTTACCCAGTGAAGTGTTTCCATTTATTACAGAAATTGATCGTGGTGGTGAGGATGTATTCATTAACGCTTCGGGTATAGGTGGCGGTGGAGGTAATATATCGCGATTGTTTACCCCATTTCGCGTACGCGTTGGAGTATTCGCATTAGAAGACACAGGAGTAACGTGTCTGCTTCCATTAGATGGTGGATCCGGGGGTGGTTGGGAGGGGCGAATTTTCGTACGCGAAAGCATGCCCTGTGCACAAATGCCTTCAGAACCAAATTGTTCATAAGATCGCTGATTTTCGTTAAATGTTTCGTCATCATATAAATCTTGCAATTGCGCTTGCTCAATGCATTGCATGGAATGTATTGCCAAAATTCCATTTTCAGTTTTCCCAATAGAAGGCGAATGAATACCAATAGCGTTGGCAACGGCGGAAGTAATTGTTGTACAAGATTGTGTTAGAGGGTCGCCACAATTTCCAGCGGCTTGCTCGGAATTACAGACCTTACGTAAATTAATGGAATTTGGACGATGGTGACGTGATTCAAGAACTCCAACATCTAACAAAAAAGGAATAAAATACAGTTCTAGCGGTAAACACACTGCACAAAAAATCATATGTTTAAGTTGGTTTGACAACATACATATGTACATATGTAATGAATGTTTTTACAAAAATATCTATATATGGGCCTGTTCGAGGCACGTAATAAATGCGGCATTACTGTTTCACCGATGAAAATTTGCAACACTGTTGCGACTGCCCAAATGATGACACGTTGGTAGAAATTCACACCGAACGTGATACCTTAATAACACTGGATCACAAATTTTAATTTGGTTTTTGTTCTCCAGACGCCGCTATCCAATTACTATGTAGAATTGCTCGGTGATTCCGAAATTCGGGTTAATTTTTTTTTCTATGGATACGTTTTCGAGATATTTGCAATTTACCGTTATTCAGCTTAAAGCAAAAATTGGTTCCTCTTAATCACGTATATGTTACGAACCAATTTAAAAATCTTAATAGAAAATACGGCCAATGAAGTTCTCCATAAACCGTATATACATCTTATTCCGATAGGGCTTATACAGCCCGATTCTGTGCACTTGATAAATTGAAAATCTTTATAATTTGTCAAGTTTTTATTATTTATAAATAATTGGTATTCTAGCACAGAAATCAAAACCTCTTTTCTTGATAAATTATCAAGATTGAAAATGCTATTGACAAATTGAGATTTCATGTGAAATGTATAAATTTTTTATATTAATAAATTTGTTTCTAACAATTAAATACTCCATGTGCCGGCATTTGAACGTGCGACACACGGAATTATAGTACCTACTCGGCTAAGGCGGTCAAGGGCTTTTTTGCTTTTAAATTCATATTTTTCATATGTGACAATGAAATTAGTTCCACTCATGTGGAAATCAGTTCGACTAATGTGGAAATCGTAGAGCTTTTTGTTTTATAAATATTGACACAGAATGCGAAGGAAGCTTTTACTTGATAAAAATCTTGATAAAATTTCTTTACAAAAAATTTATCAAGAAAACACAGAATTGGGAGGATAGTTTCTGACAAATTTATTAATCATTCCAGCTTTTTTTATTTTTTTATTGAAAAATTAAAAAATCAAACTTTAACAGAAGGAAAATTAAAAAAAAAAAAACAGTTCTGTGCCAAATTTTTGCATTTGTACTAAAGCCTGTTCTGTTATAAATAAAAAATCAAGTTACTGATGAAGAAAATCGATGGATAAATACGAAATAACTAGTGAACACGCATGGCGTTAAGACGCCAAAATTGAGCTTAACATTTTATACAGATGGCAACACTATTCATAAACCTTAATAAATATTGAAAATGTTTCAAGTAAATTCGTCCATCCCTTTTTGAACGAAGAGAGGTCTCACATGGCGTCGGTTTTTCATTTCCTCAAAATTCAAACCACCGTGCACCGCTAAAAAAGGTCCTAACTTTAAGAAATAAAACCTTAATGCACATTTAGAATGACGGTGCTGATCTGATGACCTTCACATTTACCTATTTACGCCCAAACAAAAACGGTTAAACTTTTATTATATCTAATTTTATTTATGTGACTATAAAAGCCATTTTAAACAAACTTAGGAATTAACATCAACGAAAACAGTTTAAAAGTTATCTTTTGGGAGTGTACTTTTTTTAGTACAGCGGGCATTTATGCGTGTTAATTTTTAAAACATTATTTGACAAAGCATAACGTTTTTTTGCATCCTGTACATTGTCATTGTATAATCTCATGACACAAAACTCAGTTTTGCTGCTTGGGCAACTTGCCTGGGTTATGTCCGCTATGCTTTGGGTTTGGATCTGCTACAATAGAACCGGATGGGTGGCTTTTTCGAACAATGTGTCCTCTAACAACAAAACATGTCGATCGAATCCACCGGTTAGATATACTCATATCAAGCATGTACGTGGAGATTCATAACCCACCACCAATGATTTTTCCACAATATATGTCAAAGACTTAGTAATAACCTTCAGAACTTGCTATCGCCCAGTTTTAGTAGCAAAATATAATCGAAATTTCGTTAAGAAATAAATATATATATAGCTCTAGAAAATTAATTGAGAAACTACCTGACGTTTTAGACAAAAACTCTGAATCATCATGTCACACAGAGGCCAGATTTTGAACATTTTATAATTTTACGTAATTGCAAGACTATTTTCAACTACTCACTTCTCACTTTTTTTTCTTACAGTAAAGTATTACTAACATAAATCTCCATAAATAATTTCCGTATCCTTAAATACCTCTAGAGATATTCTGTACGATAGTTCCACTTGTATGATCTATAAATAAGAGAAATATGCATTATATAAGTTTCAGTATGTAAAGGAGGACCCCGCCCCCTTTTCCAATAACCGCCACTTTTCTACTGAGTATAGGATTGATTTCATATACTATCTCCATACCAAGTTCTAGTATTCTACAGCAAACTCCTCTTCGTATGCAGTATGAAAAATTCAGTTTGTATGGGAGCTGCCACGCCCCGATGACATATCCAAATTATTTTTAGTCTATAACCATGCTTGGAAAGTCGGAAATAGGTGTCCAAAACTTCGAAAAATCGGTACGGCTGTTCTCAAGCTTTTCGAACAGAAAAACCGGCTTTCAAAAAATTGTATACATATATTAGTATAGATGTGCCCGTTGTACTAAAAAAACGACAGCTAACGGAATAGCTGTATAAATCCATCAAATAACAAACCCTTATACCCACTGTTAGTAATTTGATTAATTTACTTTTTTTACTCTTTATAATAGCGGATATTTTAAGGCAAAGTGCAATAATTTAAGAAAAACTCGCAGCTTTTCATGTGGACCACTTCTAATGTGAAAAGTCGATTTGTAAGTGTCCAAATCCGGTATCCCCAGTTATACTCGTACCTATTTATCGTTTATTCTATCTGAAGTGAAATTAATACCAGTATGTGCAAACTTATTAAAGCAATTTCGTTCTAGTAATAATAGTAAACTTTTAGACGTGGGCTTAATTGGTGTCGTTTATATAGTACAGAGAGCGTAAATGAGTTAAAGATCTGATGACCATTACAAAAAAAATTATTTATTTATAAAACTTAAATCAAACTAATTTTTTCGTTATATTATGGGTTTATTCGAAAGAACATATATTCCCATTAGTTATGGAACCAAATTTCATCATGTGACTGTCTTCGCAGTAGCGTATCCTGTTAACCCAGTTCTCCAAGACCTTGTTGATGGTTACTGGCTCTATTGTAAGAAATGCCCGACATACGCCTTAAAGCGTAATAGATTGTTCGCATTATATCGGTCCTTCACGGCATGGCACAAAAAGTCTAAGGGCGTTAAATCGCCGCTCCCAGGGGGCCAATTGACTTCATCGAGACAGCTGATAACACAATTACCGAACTNACTGGCTCTATTGTAAGAAATGCCCGACATACGCCTTAAAGCGTAATAGATTGTTCGCATTATATCGGTCCTTCACGGCATGGCACAAAAAGTCTAAGGGCGTTAAATCGCCGCTCCCAGGGGGCCAATTGACTTCATCGAGACAGCTGATAACACAATTACCGAACTTTATCGCTCAAAATAAAAATCGAATAGATGGCAACCCTAACAAAAACTATTTTCAAACTAAAGTTTTCTTAAAACTCTTTCTTTTACCACTCATATTTTAATATTTCATTAAAATTGTGTAAATGCTAAGGTACGAATAGCGATTACGCGGCTGAAAAACAACAAAGCTGCTGGAGCTGACGGCCTGCCAGCCGAGCTATTCAAGTACGGCGGCGAGGAGCTGATGAGGTGCATGCATCAGCTCGTATGCAGAATATGGTCAGATGAACGCATGCCCGACGACTGGAATTTAAGTGTGCTCTGCCCAATCCACAAGAAAGGCGACCCCGCCATACGCGCCAACTACCGCGGAATTAGCCTTCTAAGCATAGGTTACAAGGTCTTATCGAGCG